ACACACAGAGGAATATTTATAAGAAAAAGTTAAGATAAAAATTTAATTAAATCGTTTTATTTTATAGCTTAATTTCATAAAAAAGAGATTTCTGCCTACTTAAAAAAATATTGACTGTTTGATTAATGAAAAGGAAAGGCGCAAATGATCAGAATTCTGATTTTCCGGATAACTGGGCAAGGATGACTGGTCAAGACTAAGTAACAGAAACCATAATCATTGATTGATGAGGATAAGTGAAGAGAAGGGAAACTCCTTCGAGGACACAGTGAATAATTAATATGCCCAGGTTGTAATGAAAGTGTCGAGACTACAACCCTAAACCAGAAAGAAACCCAAATCCCTAATTAGATAATCGAAAATTTAGGAGCAGTTTTTTGTAAATATGTAACCCTATTATCAATGCCAGAGTTGTAAATTAACTATTAGTGAATTAGCAGATTAATGAAAGCTAATTTTTTTACCAAGAGAAAAACAAACGCGAATTTCGAAGGAATAATTAGTATTTCTTGGCGCTCACAAATTAGGTATTACTATTTGAAGTAAGATTTTTACGAACGTATAAATTTAATTGAAAATCAACAGAGCTAACAGTGTGGAATCTTACCCATACCAGTTTTCCGCATTAACGCCAGAAGATGCGCTGGGATTTGAGTAGAAGGGGCTGTTTTCGTTAGATGAACTTGTCCATTATTTTATATGAAAACTATGGGAAAATACATCCTCCCAGGAAAACTCAGGAGTCATAAGCAAAAGATAGTTCAAGCAGCTTATTCAGCTTCTAATCAGAGAATTGCAGTATAGGACGAAATAAATAAGTCGGACAACTAAGAAGATCCATAATATTGAGAAAACTAGGTATTAGAAAAAGATTAGTCATTAAGGCAATTAAGGGGCATTACTTGGGATATGCTGTCTCATCAAGTATTAAAACATAATAACTTAATACATTTTCTAAGGTATCTAGAAGTACGATAGATGTGCAAGCTATAAACATCAAATGCTATTAGTAATAGGAAGACATGGATCAGCACATTAATGAAGTGAGTGTATTAAAATTAAAGGCTCGAAAGGCAATTTCTCAGTATAGGGATACTTTAGTGTGTGATTAAAATAAGTAGAGAAAAGAGTTCCAAGATATAAATAAGAAAGTGAGTGGAAAAAACTTCATTCTTAATATAGTATCAATCATATTAGCAGGCATATATGGATTTGAGACAAGGTCAAGTAGGCCAAACTGAGGTTAATTATTGAACCCGGAGGTTAAAGCTTCATTAGACATTGAATGAGAGAGTACGTCTGCGATTAAAAGCAAAGTAAAACTCATTGCTCAACGTCCAGTCTACGAAATAGTAAACTATCTATGACATGCTCTATCCACAATCAAGAATAAAAAATTGTGGCATGACTCTCCATTTCGAAGAGAAAGTTGGTTGGAAGCAATTCGTGCTGTGGCAGCACCAGAAACCGAAGGAGGATTTTCGCGTAGGGAAGACTGTTAAATTGTGCAAAGTAGTCCTCGGCTCACCGTCCTGCGATCCCGATGAAACTGTGCTAAGCTTTCGTCTGTACTGTGACAGACATAATCAGAGCAAGAGTCCATACTTTACGAGATAGCGCAAAAATAAACTAAATCAAGAGAAGAAGGTTGT